CAGCAGGTGTAAAAGTGCAGCTTAGAAATTCCACCCAGCCAGAAGTTGGGACACTCTCCTGGAGGTGGTTGATCTCCAGGCCTCCTCTTGACCCGAACATTGAGAGCAGTTGCGTGGACGCTGACCAGCACCATGAGAACTAGGCCCGTCAGTACGACCATTGCTATTTGGGGGGAATACAGCAGTGTTGTGATCTGAAGGATAACACTGTACAAGTTACTATTATTATGTAGTCATGTTGTACTACTGGCGCAGCGAGACATTTAGGAATGTAATAAACGTGACAAAAACACTCAAAATGTTTCCAGTGCGTACCATTAGTTCTCCCGGACAACCTGGTATTTAGAACATCTGATAGCTATTGAATGATCTCCGATATATATATTTTAACTAAATTATTGTATTTTTCTTTAGCTTATCTCTCACATAAATGTCGTTTTCTAATTGGCTGTGCGCTCTTCTGTTATTTTAGTTGTACCCCGCTTACAGGTTACACAACACCAAATGTTTTCCCATAGACTTCTATAGTAGCCTTATATTTTTTTTTAAATAATCCAGGCTATCAACAGCCATTCCATGTGCACATGGGTACACCCTGGCCTTTAAACTACCATAAAAACATACTATCTGGCCAACTTGTCCGGCTCGTTTTGCGAGCACAGGAAGCGGAACACATCAACCCCAGATCCGCACCAAATGTCACCTACTGGAAAATATCTGTACACACAATAAGCATAAGTCATGCTGATGAAAATCACAGCACTGAATATTTAAAATTGTGGTCAGTTTTAATTACTGGTTGGACATGCTTTTTTAAAAAACATAAACATCTTACACTATTTCATCCACTCACAGCTGTCACATGTCTTTATCTCTTCATTTGTTTACATACGCATCTCGCTCAGTGAGCACGCGATTCTCATTTAGTGTAATATAACCTGTAACATTTGCTTTGTTACTCGCTGGGAATGGCGAACTGTGGGATTTCATTTGGTGCTTCGTGTTAGAAATTCTTTATCTCGACTATTTGAGTCACATATGATGTACTGAAATTACCGATGTTTGCAAAAGCAAATAGATGGATGGGAGATAACTCTCTCTATGTATAAATTTGTTTATCTTTGTCGGTGTTGGTTAATTACCTAACTCTGCTTAATATGATCCGATACGTTCAACCTACAAACAGTTCAAAACAGGCTGACATAAGTGTGTGAGTTTGGTTTTAAGCCGTTTTTAACAATATTCCAGCAATATCACGGCAGGAGTCATCACATACATTGTACCTATGTAGGGAATCGAACCCGTGTCTTCGGTGTGACAAGCGAACGCTTTAACCACTAGGCTACCCCACCGCCCCGTCATAAAGTAGAGGTGACTGGAACACTGTGTCACCAATCTAACTCGCTGTACATTGGGCAACTAATCTGGACACATCATGTGAAAATGAAACGCGTGTATACGTTTCTCAAATTAGGACCCCCACCGTGAAATTGCTATAATATTGCTAAATGCGGCGTAAAACTAAACTCACTCACTCAAGTAAGGTGATACAACGTAACATTGTCTTGTGCAGGATGTTAATAAGCGGTATTGATATTTGGGCTTAATGTATAACCTCCTAACTAGCAGGACACAACCACTTGTCGCTACTGATTAAACCCGGAAGTATTGAGGCCGAACAAGGGAAATGGCCTTGAGAGACGACCAGGCGTTATTGACGGGTTTACGACGTACATGATAGGAAAGTATGAACATGGAAGGTTTTTAAATCACGCCACGATATTCATTTTGATTTGCCTGGTACTTTTCACGAAGGATATTTCAACTGTAATGTTTTTTTATGGTAACATAAGTAGGTAACAGTCGAAGTGACATAAGTGCTCTGATGCATACAATGATATTTACACAAGGTAAGTGAATGAGTTCAGTTTGTACTCAGCTGATAGCAATGTACCCGCAATAGATGACGTAGACACCTGTGCAGGGGGCGCTGGTTTCGGAATTCGACCTCGGCATTGTGTTACTGCTGAATGTGGGTGTACACCACCACCCCTATTACCACTGTGTCGTATTGGCCACAGTCACTTTACCCAGGATTATCTGCTGAATGTGGGTGTACACCACCACCCCTATTACCACTGTGTCGTATTGACCACAGTCAGTTTACCCAGGACTATCTGCTGAATGTGGGTGTTCACAACCACCCCTATTGCCACTGTGTCGTATTGGCCACAGTCAGTTTACCCATGACTATCTGCTGAATGTTGGTGTACACAACCACCACTATTACCACTGTGTCGTATTGGCCACAGTCACTTTACCCAGGACTATCTGCTGAATGTGGGTGTTCACAACCACCCCTATTGCCACTGTGTCGTATTGGCCACAGTCAGTTTACCCGTGACTATCTGCTGAATGTGGGTGTACACCACCACTCCTATTACCACTGTGTCGTATTGGCCACAGTTAGTTTACCCAGGACTATCTGCTGAATGTGGGTGTTCACAACCACCCCTATTGCCACTGTGTCGTATTGGCCACAGTCACTTTACCCAGGACTATCTGCTGAATGTTGGTGTACACCACCACCCCTATTACTACTGTGTCGTATTGGCCACAGTCACTTTACCCAGGACTATCTGCTGAATGTGGGTGTTCACAACCACCCCTATTGCCACTGTGTCGTATTGGCCACAGTCACTTTACCAAGGACTATCTGCTGAATGTTGGTGTACACAACCACCCCTATTACCACTGTGTCGTATTGGCCACAGTCACTTTACCCGTGACTATCTGCTGAATGTGGGTGTTCACAACCACCCCTATTGCCACTGTGTCGTATTGGCCACAGTCACTTTACCAAGGACTATCTGCTGAATGTTGGTGTACACAACCACCCCTATTACCACTGTGTCGTATTGGCCACAGTCACTTTACCCAGGACTATCTGCTGAATGTGGGTGTACACAACCACCCCTATCACTACTGTGTCGTATTGGCCACTGTCACTTTACCTAGGATTATCTGCTGAATGTGGGTGTACACCACCACCCCTATTACCACTGTGTCGTATTGGCCACAGTCACTTTACCCAGGACTATCTGCTGAATGTGGGTGTACACAACCACCCCTATTACCACTGTGTCGTATTGACAACAGTCAGTTTACCCGTGACTATCTGCTGAATGTGGGTGTACACCACCACACCTATTACCACTGTGTCGTATTGGCCACAGTCATTTTACCCAGGACTATCTGCTGAATGTTGGTGTACACCACCACTCCTATTACCACTGTGTCGTATTGGCCACAGTTAGTTTACCGAGGACTATCTGCTGAATGTGGGTGTACACAACCACCCCTATTACCACTGTGTCGTATTGGCCACAGTCACTTTACCCAGGATTATCTGCTGAATGTGGGTGTACACCACCACTCCTATTACCACTGTGTCGTATTGGCCACAGTCACTTTACCCAGGATTATCTGCTGAATGTGGGTGTACACCACCACCCCTATTACCACTGTGTCGTATTGACCACAGTCAGTTTACCCAGGACTATCTGCTGAATGTGGGTGTTCACAACCACCCCTATTGCCACTGTGTCGTATTGGCCACAGTCAGTTTACCAAGGACTATCTGCTGAATGTTGGTGTACACAACCACCACTATTACCACTGTGTCGTATTGGCCACAGTCACTTTACCCAGGACTATCTGCTGAATGTGGGTGTTCACAACCACCCCTATTGCCACTGTGTCGTATTGGCCACAGTCACTTTACCAAGGACTATCTGCTGAATGTTGGTGTACACAACCACCCCTATTACCACTGTGTCGTATTGGCCACAGTCACTTTACCCAGGACTATCTGCTGAATGTAGGTATACACCACCACCCCTATTACCACTGTGTCGTATTGGCCACAGTCAGTTTACCCAGGACTATCTGCTGAATGTGGGTGTTCACAACCACCCCTATTACCACTGTGTCGTATTGGCCACAGTCAGTTTACCCATGACTATCTGCTGAAAACGAATGTGGGTGGACGTCCCATGTGTGTCTCTTGCGATGAGGTGTTCACCGTCAAGCATATACTGCTTGACTGTGCGGACTTTTCAACTGCAAGGGGCTTACATTATGATGCATTGGCAATATCCGGCAATACCTGACAACTGAAACAGCAACAACTCTTGTTCTATCCCTTGTCATGAGCAGACAGACTGCAACTGTCTGTTGGCTGGTGCAACCAAGCATCAGATACAAACGCTACAAAGAGTCCAGAATGTAGCAGCCCACATTGTGACAAGATCCAGGAACAATGATCATATCACTCCTCTTCTATACTTTCTACACCGGTGGTCTGTGGAGTTCAGAATTGAGTTTAAACTTCTCTGCCTTGTCCTCCGCTGTCTGTGTGGAACTGCCCCTACATATTTATCCAGTTTCTTGCTCTGTACAAGCCTTCTCGCTCGCTCCGTTCTCAATATAAAAGTTGTTCCTAAAACAAGAACAGTGCAGCATGGAAACAGATCCTTTGTCTATGCAGCACCAGTGGCCTGGAACAAACTTCCACAGAATCTCAGGGACTGTACTGACTTTGTCACTTTCAAATCCCGGTTAAAGACACATTTGTTCAGGGCAGCCTTTTCAACTATATAATTGTATAATTTGTTACTTTCTATCTACGCTTTGAGCATGGACTGCATGAATACCAGCGCATTACAAATGTGTTATGATGATGATGATGATGATGATGATGCGAGAAATGTGTGTGTGCGTGCGTGCGTGCGTGTGTGTGTCTGTGTGTGTGTGTGTGTGTTTAAGATAAAACTCATTTGGACCTTAGAACGTTCATGAATGCAGACTTGGAATAATGCCGATGTGACGTAAAGCCCAACTCAACTATTACACTCTCAGTGTGCTAGTATAGTTCTGACCATGTCGAGCTTGTCCATCTCTTCACGCTTCACTCTGTGTATTGTAATCACAACCAATCACAGTGTACTTCAACCTACTTACTAATCACCACCTCATTGTACATCAAACTCACCATTATATAAACTCAACCTCTAATCACAACTAATCACTCTGTACATCAACCTACTCTGGTCAAATCACTAATTAGATGTTCAATGGACATCTACCTTGTCAATTGTATATACTCACAATGTACATCTCTACCTTGTCAATTGTATATACTCACAATGTACATCTACCTTGTCAATTGTATATACTCACAATGTACATCTATCTTGTCAACTGTATATACTGACGATGTACATCTACCTTGTCAATTGTATATACTCACAATGCAGCTATGTATATGTTGTCCATGTCTCAACTCTTTTTATCACTTGCTTAATAACTACACCGAAACGCCACACTCACAGAGGTTGACTGTCCATAGAAGTTTTCCTTCATCTTCACAACTTCTAAAATGTCTCGAAGAAGAAAATACTAAGAATGTTATACATCACTTCATGTTACCGAAGCGATCGTTGTGAATATAAATTAAAGTTATTGTTGAAAGCAACATATTTACAAATTGTTAAAAATCTAACAACGTACATTTATCATAGATTCAACAAGAGAAAATCTGTTTTAAACATTGTGTGACTGTGCCCGCTTGTATTGCCTCTTCCTTCTGAAAAAATAAACAATGAAGACACCCAGCACTAGCACAGCAGCAGCCAGGATCTTGATGCCATATGTCCCAGCTGTAAACACACCATCACCTCCACTCCACCCCCACCCCACAAGACGGGGTGGCACAAAATAGCTGCGTACATTTGTTACCCCAGGTACACTGTTTGTTTTTCTTGTAGCAGCAGTCGACTGGGCAGTTGTCTGTAGTTTCTCCAACATCACACTTTCCGTTGTAGCAGGTGTCTGGCATTCCTGACCCATCCCTTACTGCAAGACTTAACCCATTCACTCGGTACCGCTTTTCGCAGAAGTCTGTGAACACCCAGCATGTTCCTACAACATCCAGAGAAGGCCATGGCTCGCTTTCTCAGCTACTCGGGCCTGTCAATCACATCCTCCACAACGGTAAGATTCATGTTGTTCACCATTCCCGCCGTCAAACCCACCAGGTTTACAATAGGATCCATTAGATGCTCTGTGATAGGTACGACCATCGCAATAGGGATAAGGACCTTCATTCAGGTTGTTACAGCAGGTGTAAAAGTGAACTTTAGAAATTCCACCCCACCAGAAGTTGGAGCATATTCCTTTATGTGGTTGATCTACAGGCCTTCTCTTGACCCGAACATTGGGAGAAGTTGTGTGAACGCTGGCCAGTGTCGTGAGGGCGAGGACCGCCATTATGACCATTGCTAGTTTCGGAGATAACAGCAATGTTCCTTTGATCTGAAGGGTAATAACATTTTACAAGTTAATATCGATATACAGTAATGTCGTACGGCTGGAGTAGCGATTTATTTGATAATACAGCAATGACATTTAGATTTAAGAATACAAAGGTGCCAGAAACTCCCTAAATATTTCTAGTGTATACCATTTGTTCACAATGACAACCTTGTGTTTAGGATTATGGTGTATTAATGATCTCCGACATTTTAACGGATGTTTTATAAAAAATGACAAACTTGTATGATCATCATTATTTCGGGATTTACTTTCAGTATTATTCAGAAATATGTAAGTAAGTATGATTTCACGCCTCTTTTAGCAATATTCCAGTGTGTGCCATTCCTTCAGAAGGGCATCCTGATATTTAGAACATCTGTATGCTATTGATGATATCCAACATGACCAAATCACATACATTTTAACGAATGTTTTATGGTGTGGACCTGCTAGCGAAATGACAAAAGTCTAAGGTCGTCATCATTTCAAGATTAACCTTCAGCATTACGTTGACATTAGAGAGTATAGTTTTACGGGTCACTTTTCGCAATATGCCATCAATATCACGGCGGGAGTCACCACTTAATTTTGCTCCCATATGGGGAATCGAACCCAGATATTTGGCGTGACAGCTACCCATCGCCAATTTTCGAAATAGTTGAAATGGTGAGGGCATGGCGATTATGTAGCGAAACTGCCTCCAGGAAATATTTATCGACTGAAATAGTTTCTGAAGCATACAGTGATATTTACAGATGGTTAGGGAAGGAGTTCAGCTTGTTCTCAACTCTTAGCTATATAATCCACAATATGTGATGGAGGCACCTTTGTAGAAGGCACTGGTTTAGATTGGTATATAACCCACAATATGTGATGGAGGCACCTTTGTAGAAGGCACTGGTTTAGATTGGTATATAACCCACAATATGTGATGGAGGCACCTTTGTAGAAGGCACAGGTTTAGATTGGTATATAACCCAAAATATGTGATGGAGGCACCTTTGTAGAAGGTACAGGTTTAGATTGGTATATAACCCACAATATGTGATGGAGGCACCTTTGTAGAAGGCACTGGTTTAGATTGGTATATAACCCACAATATGTGATGGAGGCACCTTTGTAGAAGGCACTGGTTTAGATTGGACCTTGACCTTGTCCTCCTTATAGCCTGCATTGCAAAACCAACAATCTGACAAGTTGCCAGGGTCACGATCCACAAAGAATTCGTAACGTTACGTCCTGTCGTAACCCTTCAGTTGCCATAGGCTTACGAACATCATAGTGCTACGAAGACTTTTTGTAGGTCGGGAAGGAAGGAAGGTCATACACTGACGAAGAGAGGTCATACACTGACAAAGGGAGGTCGTACACTCACGAAGGCCTGCATACACTGACGAAGGGAGGTCACACACTGACGAAGGGAGATCATACACTGACAGACGGAGGTCATACCCTGACAAAGGGAGGCCATACACTAACGAAAGGAGGTCATGCACTGACGAAGGGAGGTCATGCATTGACGAAGGGAGATCATACACTGACGGACGGATGTCATACCCTGACGAAGGGAGGCCATACACTAACGAAAGGAGGTCATACACTGACGAAGGGAGGTCATACACAGATGAAGGGAGGTCATACATTGAGGAAGTGAGGTCATCCATTGATGAAGGGAGGTCATACACTGATGAAGGGAGGTCATACATAGAGGAAGTGAGGCCATGAACTGACGAAAGGAGGTCACACACTGCCGAAGTCCTCCATACACTGACGAGGAGAGGTCATACACTGACAAAGGGAGGTCATACATTGAAGGGAGGTCATACACTAACGAAGGGAGGTCATACACTGACGAAGGGAGGTCATACACTGCCGAAGGGAGGTCATACATTGACGAAGGGAGATCATACACTGACCGACGGAGGTCATACCCTGACGAAGGAAGGCCATACACTAACGAAAGGAGGTCATGCACTGACGAAGGGAGGTCATGCACTGACGAAGGGAGATCATACACTAACGAAAGGAGGTCATGCACTGACGAAGAGAGGTCATACACTGACGACGGGAGGTCATACACTGACGAAGGGAGGTCATACATTGACGAAGGAAGGTCATACACTGACAAAGGGAGGTCGTACACTCGCGAAGGGAGGTGATACACTCACGAAGGCCTCCATACACTGACGAGGAGAGGTCATACACTGACGAAGGAGGTCATACACTGACGAAGGGAGGTCAAACACTGACGAAGGAGATCATACAATGCTGAAGGGAGGCCATGCACTGGCGAATGGAGGCCATACACTGACGAAGGAAGGTCATACACTGAGGAAGGGAGGTCATACGCGGACGATTGGAGGATATACACTGCTGAAGGAGGCCATGCACTGGCGAATGGAGGCCATACACTGAGGAAGGGAGGTCATACACTGAGGAAGGGAGGTCATACGCGGACGATTGGAGGATATACACTAGTGAGCTAATAGTTAACGTCACACATAGGCAATATTTCAGCCATATCGTGACGAGCGGGGTCATACATTGAAGAAGGAGGTCATACACTGACGATGGGAGGTCATACACTGACGAAAGGAGGTCATTCACTGACGAAGGAGGTCATAGACTGACGAAGGGAGGCCATACACTGACGAAGGGATGTCATTCACTGACGAAGGGAGGTTATACACTGACTAAGGGAGGCCCTACACTGACGAAGGGATGTCATACACTGACGAAGGAGGGACATACACAGATGAAGGGATGCCATACACTGACTAAGGAGACCATACACTGACGAAGGAGGCCCTACACTGACGAAGGGTGGCCATACACTGACGAAGGAGGTCAAACACTGTCGAAGGGGACATACACTGACGAAGGGATGCCATACTCTGACTAAGGAGACCATACACTGAAGAAGGGAGGCCATACACTGACGAAGGGGACATACACTGACGAAGGGAGGCATACACACTGACGAAGGAGGTCATACACTGACGAAGGAGGCCATACACTGACGAAGGCGGGACATAAACTGACGAAGGGAGACCATACACTGACGAAGGGGGGACATACACTGACCAAGGGAGGTCATACACTGACGAAGAAAGGTCATACACTGACTAAGGGAGGTCATACACTGACTAAGGGAGGTCATACACTGACGAAGGGAGGACATACACTGACGAAGGGAGACCATACACTGACGAAGGGGGGACATACACTGACCAAGGGAGGCCATACACTGACGAAGAAAGGTCATACACTGACGAAGGGAGGTCATACACTGACGAAGGGGACATACACTGACGAAGGGAGGTCATACACTGACGAAGGGGGGACATACACTGACCAAGGGAGGTCATACACTGACGAAGAAAGGCCATACACTGACGAAGGGTGGCCATACACTGACGAAGGGGGGACATACACTGACGAAGGGAGGCCATACACTGACGAAGGGAGGTCATACACTGACGAAGGGAGGCCATACACTGACGAAGGGGGGATATACACTGACGAAGGGAGACCATACACTGACGAAGGGGGGACATACACTGACCAAGGGAGGTCATACACTGACGAAGAAAGGTCATACACTGACGAAGGGAGGTCATACACTGACACAAGGATGTCATACACTAAGCAATTATGACATAACAGGGGCGGCGTCAGTGTATGATCTCCCTTGGGGCGGCGGGGTAGCCTAGTGGTTAAAGCGTTTGCTCGTCACGCCGAAGACCCGGGTTCGATTCCCCACATGGACACGATGTGTTAAGCCCATTTCTGGTGTCCCCCGCCGTGATATTGCTGGAATATTGCTAAAAGCGGCGTAAAACAAAACTCAGTCAGTCAGTCATAACAGACTTCGGGACCCGAGTGTCTGATTTTGCAGAATCGAACATGAAAACCCTACACTGGTGTATTTACAACCATCCACATACGTTTAATATGTTCATCCTGTATGTGGAGTGGAGTGGAGTTTGTGTTCATTTTACACGTCTCTTCAGATGACTGACGGCCGGGCCATTAACCTATGTGTAGCATGATGTGACTTGTTTCGGACGAGACAGACGGAAGTAACACATCAGCCCGGTGGAGTCATTCACTCGTCACGAACACGTATCTGTAAAACGATCTCGTTTACGAGTTTGTTGGGCATTAGCTCAACATTTCTGTTTTGAAAAGTCACATTTCAGGAGTTGTAGATCTCATTTAACCTTAACAACAGAATTTATTCAGCGACAAGAGCTTGGCTGGTATGTTGTTGGGTTTACCTCACACGCTAACTGTGCAGAAGGGTACACTGAACTGTGACTGGTTGACTGGTTGACTGGGTGAGACTTAAGGTTTTGTTTCCATCCTAGCAAGAGGAACTGAAACAGAACCATGAATAAGTGTCAGAACTGTACAAAGATAATGAAAGTCATTCACTGTATTGGTCCAAACATATCATGCGTGTCGTCAAACTGTGCTCTTCATCTCAGTAACTACATAAAGCAAATATATGCCATGATTGAAAAGGGCTAACCGAAACAACGACATTGGTCACACTTGTCTTAAATATGTCGACGTAGTAAGAGACTGACCCATTAAGCGGACTGTTAGTAGTTCATCTACCTTTAAAGGCAGGGCAGGCAAACAAAGAAGTGCAGGGAGACAGCGGGAAGAGCGCGGGCAGACCGGCAGAAGGCAAGCCATGGACAAGGAGGGACAAACACTCAGCAGCCCATCCATCCCATCTGCTGCCCCAGGGTAAGTCTGACCTTCTCCTGTAGTCTCTGGACTTTGTGTAAACTCTGTGTGAATTTTGTGTGAACTCTGTGTGAACTCTGTGTGAACTCTGTGTGAACTCTGTTTAAACTGTGTGAACTCTGTGAACTGTGTGACCTCTGTGTGACCTGTTCTCCCTGCCCCACATAGTTAGTGAATAAGAACAACGACTCCTGATGTTTAAGAGTGAGTGAGTGAGTGGGTTGTTTTACGCCGCAACGCGTCTGATCACCTGATCCCTTTAGGCGCCTCTTACGACAAGATTGGAAGATCAACTTTGACCCGGATCGTCACGGGTCTGATGTTTAAATACTGACTGACTGACTGACTGAGTTTGGTTTTACGCCGCTTTTAGCAATATTCCAGCAACATCACGGCGGGGGACACCAGAAATGGGTGATGTTTAAAGAGTGCCAGACGTGTTACATAAACGAGTGAAACAGGAGGGCAGAGGCCATGGGGTTCATGAATAAATACAAAGTGACTCGAACTCTGTCATAAGCATGGGTTTATATAAAATAATGATTTCTAAGAAAAGACGAAAAGTCTCTCTCCATGTTGTTACTCTCTTTAAGAATGACACGCGGCTTTCTTTGAAACAATATCCATATTTAAGTTCGTCATATATTCTTGAAGACGCAAAGTGTGCTGGCGAGTGGGTGCCTGACTCTGAGGGTGTGGGTTCGAATCCCGGATGGGACTCAACCCCAAAAGTATTAGAATCTGTACTTTACTGAGGAAGTGTAATCCCAAATATAGCAGACTTTACAAGATATGGAGGCGTTCCAGTCAGGACCAGGGATTACCATCACGCGCTGTTATCATTGTTCTAAATCTCTTTCGGATACGTAAAGACACCAACAAACCAACCATCCAACATCTCCTTGGGACCCGTGAAAACAAATTAAACCAACCAGCCAACATCTCCTTGGAGGAGAATGAAGGAATTTATCGATGTCATATTAGAGGGCGCACTAGCGTTAGGGACACCAGGTGGTATTAGTTTAAAGCATTTGGGAGACCAGATGGTATTTATATTCAAAACGAGGCATAAGGAGAACGAGATAATATATATACATATATTTAAATACAAGTATTAGGGGGGCCAGATGATACAAATATATTTAACAACAAGCATTAGGGAGAACAGATTTTTCTATATGATTATTTAAAACAAGCATTAAGCAGACCTTATCTTCATTTAAAAGGACGTTCAGATGTGGAATACGTAAGAAAAGCAAGATTTCAACTCCTTTTTGTAAACAGCATGACGTTTCGGAGTATGTCCTTCTCCGTCATCAGGTACTACCTACCATTCACCTGACAAAGGAGCATGCACATACTCGGAAACGTCGGGTTATTCACCATAAACAACTTGACGTCCACAATCATGCAAGCATGCTTTTCTCAGATGGTATATTCATTTATAAACAAGCATTAGGGAGACCAGACGGCAATTTATACATATCAAATAAATAAAGTAGTAGAGAGACTAGATGGTAAATAACGGAGATAGTTCAAGATGTTCGGAGTCACAGGTAGGCCATGACAAGCACACTTTGCTGTAAATCAGGTGAGCTTAACCTAAAACACATCTTAAGGTCCTTATTTGTTGCTGTTTTGTCATAGTTAGGTGTTTTAGTGACAAAATCGTACTGCATCAGGGTGGTAAATAGGTGAAGGCAACAAACTGATAAAATCAGAGAACCCCCAGAATAACACTCTGACACGCACACCTTGCTGTAAGTAAAACACCTCTTAAGGTCCTCATGTGTTGCTGTTTTGTCATAGTTAGGTGTTTTAGTGAAAAAATCATACTGTATCATGGTGGTAAATAGGTGAAGGCAACAAAGTGATAAAATCAGAGAACTTCCGACTCCCTATACATGGACTGGAGCAGAATGACACTCTGTACACAAAACCTAGAAGCATCACCTGACAAGCATAACCTCTTCAACACCTAGGTTAGGTGAAATGGGGTTTAACGTCGCATTTACAAATATTTCGCTCATATGACGACGTGTATGTGTGTGTATGTGTGGCTGCTTGTACTAGCCCAGGTTTTATAGTGCTAGCAAACTGAGATATCGTGCTGCAGTTAATCATGAATACCCCGCTTAGAAACATTATACTCCGAGCCGACCAGTCCTTGTTGTACCCATTAATGCCGAGCGCCAGGCAGGGACCAACAAGTACCATATTTTAACGGATGGTACAACGCGGTCGGGGATCGAACCCGCGATCTTCCGCTCTCCGGGCGGACGCTCTAACCACTACACCAAGGACACGGTCTCAACGCCAAGTAAATGTTTAGAGGACTGTTATCATCGAAAATTAGAATAAAACATAGTATTAATTGTGTGAAACACCCAATTAGAACAGTCAAACAGGGATTTATTACCCAAGGCTAGGACAACAGCAACCCTCTCTTGGCAAGCTTACATAAAACTTTAAATAATGTCAACACTGTTAGTACATACCAATTGAGCGAGCGAGTGAGTGAGTGAGTTTAGTTTTACGCGGCACTCAGTAATATCCCAGCTATATGGCGGCGGTCTGTAAATAATCGATTCTGTACCAGATAATCCAGTGATCAACAGCATGAGCATCGATCTGGACTGTTTGTTAATTATAATATCAATTAAATAACAGTTAGTCATTATGAGTTACAAAAGTTTAAAGCGCTGAGTGTGGATTTGAACTCGCATGTTGAACTTAGGCTATGTAATTTAACCTGTTAGAAGTAAATTACTCACCCAATACTGTGTCACCCCGGAAGAGACATATCAGCAGTTAAGACATTATGGAATTGTGTTAACTTTATTCTTCTCATCAAGATCAAGTATGCTGACAACGGGTGAACGACTACAAAATAACATGAATTTATTTAGTCATTACATTGACAGCACGTACATCTTTGACGTGGACAAAATAAAGCCATTTTAGGAACGCTTCAATAAATATACTTTGAATAAGTGAAATGTTTACTGAATCAGCTGACAAGCCTTATTTCAATTATATACTCTCGTTACATAAACCTTTGTTGTTTGTTTACACCATAAATCAATAAATTATGTCAACAAACAAATCACATTCACATGTACATGCAGTAAACCGAACATCATTGCATGACTGAATTCAGCTGAGTCACAGGTGGAGCACAGAAAACGACTGTTTTGATGGAAATATCACGTAATTATACCTTTATAAATAGTTAAACATCGGTGATAACTTGGCTCTTATACTCACTCTATGACCGGCGTAAGTTTGGCCTAATTTAAGAGTGTAGAAAGGAAATTTTCTCCCGCTACATCCCCGAGACCATGCGGAAGTCTACCTGATATTTCTATCTCCTGAGTAGGAGAGTTCCAACAGATGACACTGAGGAAATGAATCGTACGTAAAATGTCAACCTGAGACGACTTAATCAAATGTACTTAGACAAACACTTCCCCAGGAATCGAAACGTGTTTAACGCACGAATAGGTTGTCTTCGCATTTATCTCACGGAAAAGTTACAGATACAGATAGTTTCGTTATAGATAACGTGTTTTACAGGGCAGGTTGACAAAATGCAAATGAAGAAAACGTAAATTAATGATAACAACTGTACCTGGTCATGCACCTGTTCAAAGCGTGTACTTCACTACATGAGAATTATTGAAGCTCCACTACGCATCAACCATACTCCTTGCCTAGGCGGATTCTCTCTCACACACACACACACACACACACACACACACACACACACACACACACACACACACACACAGAGAGAGAGAGAGAGAGAGAGACACACACACAGAGAGAGACACACACACAGAGAGAGACAGACACACACGCGCGCACACAGACAGACACACACACAGACACACAGAGACACACACCTCTCTTTATCCTGAAAGTTTATTAAACGACCATTGAAACTCTCGTGAAAGTGTGGTGTGCACCACCGGCTTTCTCAAAAAACTGTATCCGCTCCTGGTTTGTGAGGTTGTAGACTCTGACTATCCAAACAGCAGCTTTCAGTTTAAATGGTACTGTTTCTGTTTGCTGCACGTACTATCAGCACTTGAAAAGTTGCGGGCGAGTCAGAGCTCCTTCCGCGTGCACTGTCATAGTCGAAGCATGTTCTAGATCACTATCTAAGCGTTAACCACTGGGGTGGTCTGTCACTGTAGCGAGAATACACAAAGACATGCTTGTCGGACTAGATCACTGTCTAAGCGTTAACTACTGGGGTGGTCTGTCACTGTAGCGAGAAGACACAAAGGCATGCTTGTTAGACTAGATCACTGTCTAAGCGTTAACCACTGGGGTGGTCTGTCACTGTAGCGAGAATACACAAAGACGTGCTTGTCGGACTATATCCCTGTCTAAATGTTGACCACTGGTTCACTGATTAAGATGTGTTTGTGTGTAGAGATATCGAGCTACTTGTTTTATTAGCACTTTATGCGCTTTTACATTTAAGCGTTAGAGTTTCCTCCCTTGTAAAGTGTTCACCTCCTTGACATAGGTGAGGTGAGGTGAAATTGGGTTTAACGTCGCACTTGAGAATATTTCGCTCATATGACGACGTGCATGCGCGTGTATGTGTATGTGCGGCTGCTTGTACTAGCCCAGACTGAAGCTAGATATATAGTGCTAGCCCACTGAGATACCATGCCGCAGTGAAGCATGAATACCCCACTCAGACACATTATACTGACTCCGAGCCGACCAGTCATTGTTGTACCCATTAATGCCGAGCGCCAGGCAGGGACCAACAAGTACCATATTTTAACGTCTTTAGGTATGACGCGGTCGGGGATCGAACCCACGACCTTCCGTACTCCGGGCGGACGCTCTAACCACTACACCACGGAGGCGGTTCCTTGACATAGAAAAACACATGTCCGGCTCGGAAGAACGTGTTGTGTGTAATGGCTTGTGACTGAAGCTACAAAGGTCCCAAAACACAGTATTTGTATGTTAAGGGGCGTGTAAGCATTTCCAACCTGTAAACTCAATAATTCTACGGGGAATGTTTTTTTGGTTCAGTCCCGAACAGTGTTTGGTGCTCCCTCTGGCGAGTCACAACACACGTGTTAATGTCTGGACGTTTGAGCATACATCAGGTAAGGTACATCAGTCACATGATCTGGGTTGTACAAATGTATTCATCCAGCCTACAAACAGAGAATGAAGCAGAAAGACTGCAGACATGACACAAGCAGAAAGACTGCAGACATGATACAAGCAGAAAGACAGCAGACATGACACAAGCAGGAAGACAGCAGACATGACACAAGCAGGAAGACAGCAGACATGACACAAGCAGAAGGACAGCAGACATGACACAAGCAGAAAGAGAGCAGACATGACACAAGCAGGAAGACAGCAGACATGACACAAGCAGGAAGACAGCAGACATGACACAAGCAGAAAGACAGCAGACATGACACAAGCAGGAAGACAGCAGACATGACACAAGCAGGAAGACAGCAGACATGACACAAGCAGGAAGGAAAGTGGCTACTGTCGACTGTTGACGTCTTCCACGCGATTTCATAAGTAAAACAATTTCTTATATACAGTGAGAAAGTGTGACTCATCCAATTCCCTATTTGACTTTTGACCAAACGTTCCCGAATTATTTCAGGTGAACACTGTGGGGAATCAAACCCGGGTCTTCGGCATGAGGAGCGAACGCTTTGACCACTAGTGCCACAGGATGCGCTCACCTTTCCGCTAACACTTGGCATCATGACTGTTTCACGGTGATTCATAAACACATGCTCTGTCATCGTATCGCATCGTTACAATCACAGGATTGTCTGGTCCAGACTAGATTTGTTTACAAACAACATCGTACAGCTGTAACACTTTGGAAACAAATACATACTCATGATATAGTCAATCGTACAATCGACTTTTCTTTGGCAGAGATTTCTTATGACTGTGGAAATGGTTATGTCGTGTATATTAAAATGGTTAATTCAAGCATCGTCAAAACTTCTGAATGTACTACTGAACATATTTTAATTATGTTTCACTATTTAATAGATATATGCACAGTAATATTTCCTTGTGGTCCGGTGAGAGGGAAATGAATCAACGGGAAGTATGATGTGATTGTGACAGACGGGTGCTGGATGTTTATCGACATGTACATCAACATTTCTCCCCTCTCCCCTCCACCACATACATATATATTTCCTTGTGTATATTAATCAGTTATGCGCTGGGTCACGTATTTACTCGTCCATGTCAGTTTCAGTCAACAGGATGATCGTCTCGGAGGTCATATGGATAGCATGCCTGGTACTGGCAGCTGAGGGTAGAATATTGCATTGTTACTTTGGCACATCTCGTCTTTTTAATTTGTATATGTAACATTAGCACAACAGTTAAATGTTTTGATGTTAATAACGACTGGGCTGTCTTACGAGTTGAGATCAAATGGTGGTTATCTTTGCGTGAATCTGTGTATTTGGCCACTTCTACTAGGTGTGATGGATACCGCGGTGCCATGCTACACTGGTGTAACGTTTGTTACCCACACGGACACAGTAGACAGAGTCAAAACTTATCATTCCTTTCTCCCCTCATGACAGGCACCAGGCAAGGTAACATCAAGTATCCTCTTGTAACGTTTCGTGCTTGCGGCCTCACAAGGGGACAGAACTCTTGTTGTGTGGTCATTTTCTCTATTTCCATGGAGGCATTGATTGTCGTATGAATTTCGGATATTATCCAAACATGACGTACATCTGCTTCATTAAGGTACCAGAACGTGTCGAGAAATGCCGAATTGAAGTAAAATTGAAATTTCATTATGAATTCCTGTAAGTCACACAGTCTATGACCAGACGCGTTGGCCAAAGTTGGCGTATATTTTGTTGAGGAAGCATAACATGTGTATAATTAAATATCCAACTTTCAAACAAAAATGAATATATACTAGTTCGCATTCACACAGATGCAACCATAAGCTTGTATGTTTATTTCAAAGCTTTATCTAGAATGGTCCTTCTTTTTGTAATAATTAGGTTTTGTGTTTTGTGTGTTATCTTTTCAAATGCAAAGACATCAATATTCAATGCCCAGGCGTAGTCAGACCTATACAATACAGGTAGGCATATACAGGTAGTCAGACTTACACAATGCAGGTAGGCATATACAGGTAGTCAGACTTACACAATACAGGTAGGCATATACAGGTAGTCAGACTTACACAATACAGGTAGGCATATACAGTTAGTCAGACTTACACAATACAGGTAGGCATATACAGGTAGTCAGATTTACACAATACAGGTAGGCATATACAGGTAGTCAGACTTACACAATACAGGTAGGCATATACAGGTAGTCAGACTTACACAATACAGGTAGGCTTATACAGGTAGTCAGACTTACACAATACAGGTAGGCATATACAGGTAGTCAGACTTAGACAATACAGGTAGGCATATACAGGTAGTCAGACTTACTCCATACAGGTAGGCATATAGAGGTAGTCAGACTTACACAATACAGGTAGGCATATACAGGTAATCAGACTTACACAATACAGGTAGGCATATATTGGTAGTCAGGCTTACACAATATAGGTAGGGATATAGAGGTAGTCAGACTTACACCATACAGGTAGGCATATACAGGTAGTCAGACTTACACAATACAGGTAGTCAGACTTACACCATACAGGTAGACATATACAGGTAGTCAGACTTACACAATACAGGTAGACATATACAGGTAGTCAGACTTACACAATACAGGTAGGCATGTACAGGTAGTCAGACTTAGACAATACAGGTAGGCATATACAGGTAGTCAGACTTACACAATACAGGTAGTCAGACTTACACCATACAGGTAGACATATACAGGTAGTCAGACTTACACAATACAGGTAGACATATACAGGTAGTCAGACTTACACAATACAGGTAGGCATGTACAGGTAGTCAGACTTAGACAATACAGGTAGGCATATACAGGTAGTCAGACTTAGACCATACAGGTAGGCATATACAGGTAGTCAGACTTACACAATACAGGTAGGCGTCTTTTGTCTCGTTGAGCGAGTGAGTGAATATGGTTTTAACAATATTCCAGCAATATCCCTGCGTGGGACACCAGGAATGGGCTTCACATGGGGATTCGAACCCATTGGCGAAAACATTGAGCTACCATTAGCCTCGTTTATTAAAGATCACATTCAGTGTCCATTAAATGTTGTTTTTTTAATCAACCAATAAATTCAATTTCAGCTGGTCCGTGTGTGGACAACCAGCACTGTTCTGACTGTGACAACACGACGGGACATTACGTCACTGAGTGTGAC